CGCTCGCAACACTGCCTGTGAATCCCACAACTTTGTACTTTAAAATGGCTGGTTTAATGTAACTACTAAGTCTAAAGCATCTATTCTAAATGCAGTTGTTAACAGAAGTAGCCTAGCTCAACATCGTAAAAACAATTTATTGTACATTGCGGGATATTACTATAAAACAGCATAGAAGCCAGGAAAAGTACTGAATCAGCATATAAACAGTGAGGTATTGCATTATTAAAGTGTGTGTGTGTTTTCAGGTACCTAAGTTGGCCTTTAAGATCTAAACCAGAAGTAACACCTTTGAAGAACTGCCCAATATCCTCCCTCAGCTAGCTCATTCAACTTCTGTAGTTTAGTTTGCTCACCCAATAAAGACATGTAGAAACAGGAGTTTAATGATAATTTATGCCTTTTTGGCTAAATCACCCTTAAAATGACAGACTGCCACGATTCAGGCTCCTTAAAATGTTACTGTGACACTCCCTTGACAGGACAGATACATATCTCCGCAGATCTTTGACCAAAAATGGTCATAAGTTAATTGTAACAGTAGAATCTAATTTTTAGTCTTCACTACAGCTTGGCAAGGTAAGTCTAGCATTCAGTACTTGTTTAGCTAGCTTCCAATATTGCTATATCATTCTGTAGCCATATAAGGACCAAGTTTTTAGACCTTCATTGTGTAGTATTTCTCAGTGGATTGCTATGTTCTTACTACAAGGAGTTAAGTTCTCATTGCTGTGATGAATATTTGCACATTACAGACCCTAAGTAACTCTTAGGTACAAGAGAGTTCTGAAGTCCTTGTAGGAGAATGTGCTGTTCTTCACAAAGCCCGATCTGTGCTTTCACTCTTATCTTTCTGGTAAGGAACCAGCCTAATACCTGAAAGCCTGGTGCTGCTCTGCTTTAGTCCTGCTCCTAGCTGCTTGTGTACTTCAAGCATATGCCAATAGTGGACGTTGCATTAGGCGAACAACCATGACAGTTCTTTTAAGAGTATGAGGATATCTATAGAAAAATGACTGAAATCCACTTCTCAGTTGTTTTGGCAATATTTGTTATATGATACTTCAATAAATCCTACTTTATACTCAGTATTTTAGGTGGTATTATATGTATTATATAGGTAATAGAACACAAGGTCATTTTTCCTTCTTTACTATTGCATAGTCTTAGGAAAAGTTAGAGCAAGTAGGCATTTCAGGTTTGCAGTGTAGGAGAACTGAACACAGCTCACATAATAACTATACAGAATGGCATTTTCTATCTGTTCCCTCCGTATTTGGCCACCCAGTCTGTTCTTCCATGTACTGGCTGAATTGTTGGTGAGCGAGTTAAAATATTTATGGGTTTTGCTGCTGAATTGAAAGTAGGACCTGGTAACTGAGCACGAGCAGCTTTGGTTTTCCAGGAATAATCTGAAAGGAACAAGAACTCAGAGTTAATTATGACTCAAAAGGTATTTCACTCCTTTACAGATAAAAGAATGAGAGCTTAAAGATGACTTCTTGTACTCAAGGATGCTAATGCAGCAGGATGCTTTGGTCTCTGATATGCCATCTATGCTTGTTTTCAGCTAAGGTTAATTTTTCCTATAGTTTGTGTATCTTATTAGTAATTTTCATCTACTGGATACTTGTTTTACAGCAATCCCTTGAGAAAACATTGAGACTGAAATTCAGTGGAAAAACTGATACGTATGTCTGCAACTCTGTATCTCCTATTACAAAACTGCTACAGAATGGAAGTGTTCTTTCCTCCATCTCAAATATTTAAAAAAAGCATGTAATTACAACATTGATAAACTTATTAAGACCCAAACAGCCTAGACTGAAAGACAACTTCTGGAGACCCTCTTGTTCCTTTTGAGATTTTATGCCTTTTATTCCCATCCTGCTTAGGTGAGAACTCCTGGTGTACCTCGTGATGAGTCCTCTTCATCTCCATTTCCCATTTTGTTGTTGATTTCGTAGGATCTGTTCCCAGTCTGCAGGGGTTTTTTTATCCCTTAGTATTGGCATCCACCTGATCTCAGGCACTGGGAGTAGTGCACTACTGTATTCCCAGCCTTCCTACTCAGATTTCCCCTTTTTGCATTTCAGACAGTTACTGCTTCCTCAAGCTTAATGTGATTAAAGTAATTGTCCTGCTGCAGGGGCTGACAGCTTATGGTTTTCTTTATATTCATCACCAATTCTGCCATTTTCCCAATCCTTTAAAGTCAGTCATTTGGGACTTCTCTTATCCAGACTTCTGCTATACCTTATTACTTTCATATTATTATGAATTATGATATTATTTTTTTAAAGTTTAACATGTTATGGATAAAATACTTTTTTTTTTTGGTGCCTATGTATCATTCTGTTTCTTACGGAAAACGACATATTTTTGGTAGTATTTTTCAACAGTGGGTTGAACCCATTAAGGAACAGGTGAGGATCACAACTTAAAAAGGAGGACTGTCAAGGAACTGAAGCTGGGGGTCAGGTCTCCACCTCTTTGAAAACTAATACTGTTCCTTTCATTGTAGGCTAGCATTCCCTATCTTTCATCAGCAAGTACGATTCCAGCCTACCCTCTCTTGGCAGTGAAGGTCACTTTTCTTGGGTCTTGGTATTTTCCTCAGAGAAACTGATCTTTTATACTACATTAAATTATTTAAATTACAGCATTAAAAAAAACCTTAACAAATGAAGAAAGCAAAACCAATTGAGAGCATAACTTATTTCAGTTTGGATAATACAAAGCAAAGGGTCACCAAAAATGTTAATGTTCAAATACTGACAGATAGGAGATAAAACCTGCCATTTGCTTCATCCTTATCTCTCTTCCCATGCAAGTTTGCAGAGTTTCAGCTGAATATGAGGGGTTTAAGCAATAGGATTCTTGCTCTTCTCCAGGACATGGAACAGTCTCTTAATTGACCTCTGTCTGCCAGCCTTTCTGACTTTTACTACACATTTTCCATTTCTAATTACAGATGAACAGTGAATTTATTTCCCTTTGGACAACCATATGTAGTTCCTTTTCGTTCTCACTATTCATAGCAGTCTAGAGATAGCTGCAGATTTTGTCCTCCTGTGAACTCCTTGATCCACGCACTGTGACAAATCAAAATTCTTGCTGTTGTATTTCAGCAGTGAGTTGATAAGATAATGGAGTGCAGCTCTAGCCTTCCCTGGTGGGCTTCTGATCAATTCAGACTCAGAATACACATACATCTAAGTGTATTTTATATATGCATGCCATCTCCTTCCTTCCCTCCCTCTCTCTTCAGAAGTCACTTGCAAATTCATAAGGGGAGCAGGTAACTCAAAAGAGCAAGTCAGCAAAAAGACAGCATTATTAAGCAGGACCATATCACAGTAGTCTGCCATAGGCCCTTTAGTTAAACAATTCACAATTAGTTTAGGGCCTTGCTATTTCCTCTGAAGTAACTAGAGGAGTGTGCTGTTGGGTTTGGACAACATCTCTAAATCTTCACTCACAAACCAGTTTCTCCTGCATCCTGAGCACTTCTGTTCATCTCTGAATCGGAAACATACCAACAAAGGCGGCACTCAGAATGCCATCCATACTGTGGAGGATCTGAGGTAACAGTTACATTTAGAACAGATTTCACATTTTTTTTTAAACTGATGAATGGAAAGTCTTTTAATGTGTTTGTTAATGTAATGTACAGCTACATCTTTACTGTATCATAACTATTAAGAACTGGTCATTTGCATTCTCATTTAGCTTTTACCTTCTATAATGTAGTAACATTGAAAGTTTCACGTCACAAAGCACTCTTGTAAGATATTTTATGGGTACAAGAATAGCGTCATCTCAATAGTGACAGACTTATATAGCCAACACAGTGAGATGAAGATACAGTGAAAAACTGCCTTATATGACCACTGCAGAAACCACAGGGCAAATAGATAGGGCCAGTAAATAAGAGAGAAAATAGTTTTGATTTATTGCTTATACCATATCTGTAACATTATTTGTGAATTTACTAAGTCACTTGATGAAGGTCTTTGCCTTTTTTGAAATTATTGAGGCCACTGTAAGCATGGATCAGCATCATTCAGTTGCATTAAGTGACATTAAACTGATTAAAAACTGACACAAGACAGACCCAAGCTACATGGAAATAATTGTCAAGAAAATTCCTCAAAATCCACTCAAATATAAGGCTTTTTTTAAAAAACTTGAATTTATCTATTTTGCATACTTAGAAGTTGATGACTGTATCAGTTCCTACTAGCTACATAAATCATGGATTTATATTTGTGTCCAGTCTACATGACCATTTACTATAGAGACGCGGAGTTACATATTGTTACAGTTCTGCTTAGCCCTTCGCCACTAATCAACAGTAGTTTAGCAAATGATCCAAAACTTCTAGAATTACAAAAGGTTTGCACCTTTATTTTTTTTTTTAACCTAACAAATAATAGTAGCAATAGTCTAGCTATCAGGACTGCATCTAGACACCTACATAAGTTAGCTTACATTGAGAACAATTTATGCCCAAGAATTTTATTTACAAAAGTTGAGGAAAACCTTACTAAGGGCTAATAAATATTTTAGGAAGCATGGGAAATGAAGATTTCTCTTTGTCTCAGCTATGTATCGTAAAAGGATGTTTCTTACCTGATACAGGTACACCAAGAGGAGCTAGCTGTATCCGTTGTCCAGCTGATCCAACTTCTTTTTTATGAAATGAAGGGGTATATACTCCTGATGGGTTGTAAGCAGCACCACTTAGAAAGCCAGGATTTCCTGTTGACATTACAGAGTTTTAGTATTTTCAGTTGCACTCAGAAAACCTTGCCTACTTTTTATAGTCACTTCAAAATATATTTGCAGTACCACAAGAGTACTAAGTATGAATGTTGTTTAAAAACTTGCTAGTGCTTGTCTGTTGAAAAAAAGTATATATTCATTCTTTGCTTTGTATATATTAGTTGGACCCTTTACAGCACTTAACAGACTTGCCAAGTTGTAGATCCAGTACATCTCATCTGCAATTCAGTAGGAATAAAGACAACAGAGCAGGATGAACATTTCATTAGTACTTTCATTAAATTTAGACCACACAGACAGATTTACACTGAGTTTTAGAGAAAGGCAGGATCTTACCTTTTACTTACAGCTACTTGCTTTACTGGAAGCTTGTTTAAGCACGTTAGCATTTGAAAACTAGTGCTCAACAGTACTCTTGTGCTCAGCACATTCGGCCTAAATCTATCTAAAATAACGGAACCAAACTTCTCTTGTGGGAAGCTGTGCACCGCTTGAAGTTGACTTTGCCAGTTCCACAGTTAAAGGCCTGCTATAAAAGTCAGACCTAATTACCCTCTTTCTTTAACCCCAGTTATAATTCTAGTGTGCCTAGTTTGGGTCCAGATCTTTTAAAGCAGTGCCACCTTGGGAAGGTGGATATAACCATCCTCATTTGGAAGCTGAGAAACATTGTGCATTTACACACAAAATTAGTACTGATGTTACTGTCCAATGGCAGAGGGATCTGTTAAAAAACTTAGCCTCCCTGCTGCAAGAAGATTTCTTACCTTCTCCATGTCTGTCATCACTTGCGACAGTGTTAAGACTGTGCTGGCACCATGTCCAGAGAGAAATGCTTTTCTCTAGTGTATTCAGTAGTATTAAATTTGTGAACTACAAGGCTATACACAGTAGTTTTAATTTGACCTTTATCAAGTGTGAACATTTTTATCATATTAATATTCAGCATGGTTTCAATGGTAGTTGCAGTAAAACATGCAATATCTGATTTGACAGTTTTTCTGTCTCCTAAATTTCTGGCCTCAGTGCAATCCCAAAATGGTCCACTTCACACAAACACTCCCAGTCCTCTGTGATAATTTCAGATCTCAGAGCAGTGGATCTATAAGCTGCAAAACTAGTCATCTACAAACCCCAAAAGATATCCTCAGCTAATTACAGCTGTGTTGGATCATTGCATACCTCCCTATTCAGAGGGACTAACAAAAAGCATTCAGCTAACTCAGTTTTGTCAGTCTCCCCAAACTCTCACTTCTATCAGTTCCACAAATAGTTGGGTCTCAATGTGGCTTCCCTGTGTCCAGTTGATGCCAGTCTCCAGCACAGTAAAGAATGACACAAAAGTCCTGGTGAAAAATACAACTTTAATAACATATTCTAATAAAATTTAACTTTCTTGTAGTCTTTAAGTTGTTCTTCCTTTTCAGGAATTTGCCTGAAAAACAAAACAACAGTTTTAGTGTTTCATTCACCTGCCTGTGCACATATACACGCACATTCTCTTATTCCCCCATTTCCTAATTCTTTCACTGGGAATGGTTCATAGCTCTGACAGCTCAGTAGCATTGCTTAAAATTTTGAAGTCTGAAAATAAGAACATGACAGTCCTCAACTACTATAACCTCAAAAAGACTACTGTCTGCTGCTTATCTACAGCTCAGCAAAGCTGCCTATCTGTCAAAAATTGCTCAAACTTATTTTGGTTCTCCTTACCTCTTAATGTCCTTGATGAACCCTTCTGCAAGAAATGGAAGAGTGCAGCCAGGAGGAACAGTCTGAGTGAAATAGAGAGGTCTGGAGGGGTGATCTTTGGTTGGATGAGAACAAGGGATGGAGATAAAAAAAAAGTTCAATATAAAATAAGAGAATAACTACAAATAAATAATAAAAAAAACTATTGAAAAGCACAGTTCCTTACCTCTGACTGCTCCTGTACAAAAGAAGGTGTTCTTGCTATAGAAGTATTCATCCATCGGGCATTCAGGAGGTCTGGCAGCAGGTATACAGGCAAACACTCACGGCCATTATGTCAGCAAGTGACAGGCTGTACCCCCTACCTCAGACAACACACACCTGATTCTTCATAAAGGATAAAGTAATTGAATTATTTGAGCTGGGTAGTGAGTTCAAAAAACCCTATGAATAGTTGCAATAGACATATCACACAGGCAGTACACATCAGAGGGGGCCAGAAATGGGGGGAGAGGTGAAACGTTCCAGCAGCTTTACAATGCTCCCAGCGAACAGTGTGTTTAGACACAAACTAGGCTGCCTGGAAACGTGAGTTTCCACCTTCTTACACTAAGGTAACTCCACTAAAATCTATGCCATCACAGTGCTGTAAAATCAGTATAGCAAATAGAGAATCAGGATGCAATCAATGATGCAAGTCCCAAGTGCTGATATGAACAAGCAGTCCTTCAGGAGAGATGCATATGCTGCTGCTTTAGGATCGCTTCTTCGCCATTATCCAGCAACGGTGTAGTGACATGCTGTGGATTACAATTAGGGTAATAAAATATCCTCAGTCTTTTAAAGCACAGTAAATGCCAAGAGTCCAGAAGTCACATGAAGACAGCAAGGTTTGACAAAACAGATTACAGCTGAAAATGAAGTGTATGATCATCAGGAATCTGCATAATAAGTGCAATGTTTACAAGAAAATGTAAAACATAAATAGGAAATGTGCAAAGAACCAGGCTATAATTGCTATAAATTACCTTTTGGATCCTCTAATTTTTCATTCAACCTTTCTTTGCATGATAGCTTTTCAATAGGTATAATTAAGTTCTCATCTGTAGATAGGGAAAATAAAAGGAAGAAAAAGTGGGAAAGACAGAGCTTTATAAAAAGTCTATGAAGAACCTGGCTAGGTGATGTAAAAGAAATGAGGGAAAACAAAGCAAGAAAGAATATCTGACATGTTTCTGACTATAATGTCTCATTTCCACATTTTCTCCAGCAGGAAATGTTACTCTAACAAGTTACTTTACACCATTCTTTCTAATAATGGAATAAAAATGTGATTTACCAACAATGCAATCACATTCCAGTCACACAAATACATAAATCACAAGTTTAAGTGCTCAGGCATATCTGCAAAGTTGACTGATCACAACATCACAATGCTTCATAAATAAAGCATTTGTAACTATTTGCTCTTATTTCACCTCAAGGCAATGTTGTGGATGACAAAAAACCCCCAAACTTAAATAAACTAAACACAGTTATTTAAACAGTAAATAGCACAGTGTCAACTTTCAATTCTGTCAATATGAAAAAAGAAAACATACATAATTTACATGTGTTTTTTCCATGATTGGTGCTCCAGCTATCCTGGTTTCATGTGTGTCCATCTTAAGTGTTATTGCCTCCCCAGTATATTAAACATAACATGCAATTTAAGATACTGATGGAAATAATACCAAGTATTTTCAAACATACAAAATAAGCAGTTTTAGTTTTTTTCTTTAAACTTTTGGTAGATACCCAAAGTAAGCCAGTAAGACAAAAGCAGGATGTTTACCATTAGCATTCACTTTAATTTTATTTTCAGTGCAATTCAGTAGGTAGATGTCTAGCTTATTAATGCATACTTTTGGAAACCACTCTTTGCCTTTTTGTGCCTAATTCCCTTGCAAGACTATTTTACGAATGTATTAATTAATTCTGATTAATTAATCTGCACCCAGATACTATATTTTGAAAAACAATAAGGTATATATGAGGATTGCTTTAAAAAGTCTGTTCTATTCCATCAAAATTCTGGTAGGTGGTGTTATTTCTCCACTTCCTAAAATCTTTCACATACTTTCAGATGAACAACTTACAGCTCACCTGACTTTCAGAGGGAAAATCAGGTTTGTTGACACTGCAGAATGGCTACTAAAGTTCTATTAAAAAGTGGTGCAGCATCTGCATGTAAACAAACCTTCTAAAGTTCTTTCTGTACAAGCACGTAAGGCTGTGTGGTTTATTGGCATTAACGTATTTGGGAGTGACTCATGCTAGCTGGACAATTGCTGCAAAGTTGTTAACAAGGTAACCTCCCGTAACAGGACGATGGGACTGTGTACTTAAAGTATAGGGCTTGGTGGTCAGCAAACAGATTTTAGTCTTGAGTCTTACGTTTTTCTTAGTGAAATCTTAGATAAGCCATTTTACTAGTCTTAGTCTTCACTTTATAAAATGCTGATAATAGTATTCTTCACAAAATGTAGTATGAAAAGGCACTTTACTGCAAGTTCCTTGCTGGAAATAAGGGGACTTTTCATCCAGCAACATATTTAGGACAAGGCTAGTAGACTGTTAAAAGACATGTTTAGAATATTAGGCAATACTTTTATTACATGAGCACACCATCCACCATCTTGTTTTCCTATGTGAGACTGCTGTTTGATAGTGTTCCACGGCACACGGACCAGGCAGTAATGAGGTCAAACTATTTGCTTCAATTAACACAGTAAAATAATAGTCTAAGAGGATTAGGGGCAAAATTTATCTTGACAGAAATTTACAATAGGGGCTGGTCTATACTTCCTTTATGCTCTGAAAGCAAAATACATAGTTTACATATGAAGAAATTGTTATTTTAAGAGTCTGTTGTTAAGAAAAAAAAAGTTAGCCTAGAAGCTAAGCCTGACAACAGAAGTTAATTCAGATAGTCTTAGCTAAATTTAATTAAAGTATGATGAGATATAATGTGACCACTTTTAATTACACTTTTACCTGTAGTATTTCTGCTGAAAGTCACTCCTCCTCCAGTATGTACCAGTGGTTTAGAAAACAATTGGTTGTTCCAAGTTCCATGTGATCCTTCTTTATTGACTGCTGCTAAAGAGACACTCTTAGGGTTTACACCTTAGAAAACAAATTATGGAAGATGTTATCAATTTTCAAACATAATTCAACCAATGAAAAATTGACATTTCTAGAACAGTAAAACAATACTGAATTATTTGTGGTATAATGTAAACACTATTAATGTAAAAGAGTCCATTGATTAGGTTAGATTTTTCAGCCAAACCACAAAAACTACAGACATTGACTTAAGAACAACTCTTTTCATGCTTTCAAGAGAACTTTTAAAAGCCTTTTTAGTACAGTTACTTTGTTTCTATAAAACTATAATCTCATTATTGATATTTTTGACTCTCAAGCAATTAACACATTAAAAATACCTATCAAGAACTAGAGTTCTCAAGGCTGAAAATAAACTGTTTCTTCAAGGGGTAAGTTAAAACGTAGGACAAAGAGGTTCTTCTTACTTCAGCATGTTACAAGCATTACAAGAGTTAATGGGATTACACAGCATGAAAGCAGCTCCCAGATCTAGTGGTAAGAGAACTGAAGTAATATGGATAAATAACAAATATGCTCCTTGGAACTATTATTCTCTCAAGTGCTGAAATTAATTATTTTATACATCTATGCCTTTCTCACTGAAAACTCTACTAAAACCAGAGAGGCATTAGAAGCATGCTTAAAAAAAAGATAAGAAATATAGATGAACTTTCCATTTGTGTTACCTTTAGATAGGGAAGCTCCCCCCCCCCCCACCATTTCTTTTTTTTTTTTTTCTGTC